AGAAAATGATCTTTCTCTTATATTATCAACAACTAATCAGCTCAAAGGTCATGTTGTAAGAATTAAGATACTAAAAGCATAGAGATACCAAAATAATCAGAGATACTAAAACAATCAAGTTTCTTTTTCTCCCCTGATGACATTTTCAACAAAATCAAGCACAATGAGAGAGTATAGTACAGCATATAGGATGAAAGAATGTAAGTTTCATTATAGCACAAATAATCATCTATATCAAGGTGGCTCTATGATACCAAAAAAATGATAGCACATAATGATCATACAATTGAAGCTCATACCATTTGACAATAATTGGCAAAAAAATAGTAACATGTGAAGGTACAAGCCCATAAGTTTGATGTCAAAAACAGAATAGAAACTGAGGGGATTTTAAAAAATAATCAAGTTTAAATTCTTCCCCTTATTTCATTTGGCAAAATCAATAGGAGATATGATAAATGAAAGCTCATAACTGAAATGTTCTCGTCAATAATATCAAATAGGATGCCAAAATGATACCAACATGCAATCCACCAAGGATACTAATATACAATCTAGAAGATTTAACAATCATAGCTCAAGCATTATGTAGAATACCAAATATTACTCATAATAGGTTAAACTCAATATAATCTCATGGAGCTAATGTAATTAAAAAAAAATGAAGCATGTTCAAGGTATAGCAATCCATATGCCAAGAAAAATCTTGAATTTTAATATGTACCACACATTTAAGCATAGGCATGATTTTTAGGTAAGAGCATCATCAAAGAGTATACATTGCAAATCATACGAAGCATAATCAATCTTTTTCATATCAAAGTAATAACAGTATTAGCTCAAGGGATATAAGATAGAATTTTTACCTCAAAAGCTTGAGAGAGTATATGAGGCATACCTTAGGTTCAAGAGATGGAAACTTTTCAATCTTCAATTTTCTTTCATGAGGAGTTCATCTCAAAAGGGTTTAACAAGTATGTTAGCAAAATGATTTATCCCCTTAAGCTAGTGCTACACTTTTCTATTTTGTATAAATATAGAATTCATAGAACAATCATTATTACTCAATAAAAATACAACACAAATCACTTCTTATCACAAACTAAAAAGGTGAAAAATAATTCAATGATCAAACAAGAGTTTAGAATGCTATTTTTCAGAATTTTCAAGTTGTAACCCATAGCAAAATATGCATAAGAAAATAGTTTTATACTCTTTGTTTTATTAAGAAATGATGCAACAATCTCATTTAATCACATAACATTATCAAGAGGCATTTTCATCAATTCAATCCACATGCACAAGTATGATAAAACATTTTACTCAATATGGAACACAACATGAATGTTATAAACAATTAATTCAACAATTTATCAATCAAAAGCATTTCATGAGATGTATGCCAATATAATCCATATTCAATAGGATAGATGTAATGTCTCTACAAACGTATGATACTTCTTTTCATTTAGACATTGTTGATGGATCATAATTAAGGAATTTCACAACTCATTTAAATATTCCAATGTAAAGCATATAAGCATGAAATTTTCATACTGAGCATATTCTTGTAAAATTCAAAATATAGATAGTATACATCTCAAAAACATGCTATGACATCAAAATTGATTCTACAAAGATATGACTCAAAAAGGAATTAACATATTAGTATGAAGTCATATATAAGATGTGAAAAGTATGCTCACAAAAAAAATTACCACTTCTTATCTCTTTTTCATAGCAATGGATGACATGATATAAAATGTTAATGAATACATGAATCATTCATATTCTAATAGGCATTCATCAAAATAATATAATTCTCATTTTTGAGTTCAATGAATGTTTGAAAGAAACTAGCAAAACATGACTTAGCAAACTTAGTACAATTAGGTTACATGGAAGCAATGATTAGACACAACCTATTGTACACAAATTACACCTTAAAGAATATAGAACTTTAAGCTTAAAGGTGTGTTAGGAGTTATACCTTCATTTATCTCTTTGGAATCTTCACCCATACATTACCTCTATTGTTCATCTTGGTGATTTTCATTTCATCATTTTTCTTCTTGTAGGAGCTGATTTTGCTCTTTAGATTGAACACTCTTGTTGTGCATTTCCTCTCGAAGTCCTTGGTATTCTTTGAGATTCCACCTACAAAATATCTTGATTTCTTTTTTGGTACCCATACTTTCTTGGGTCCATGGAGATTAGTCTCAAGAACATTTAATCTCATAAAAGGTTTAGGAGGATCAAAACCAATGTCTACTTTGTCAAAAACACATCTTTTATTTCCAATAAGCTTGTTGAGGTTTTCTTTTCATTTTACAAAATTTTCAAGAGTTTTGTTTAAATCCTCAACATTGTTTTTCAAAATGTTTTTCTCATTGGTAATAGACGTAAAGTCATTTTTCAAAGTAGCATTTTTCATTTTAAAAACACCCACATCATTTGAAAGAGAAGTAACTGATTTCTTTAATTTAGAATTCTTAACACAAACATTTATAAATATGTCATGTAATTTATTGAAAGCACTTTCAAGTTCTACATAATTAGAAATTACCTCATCTTGAGTGGATTCTTATTCTCCAAAAGCCATGAGACACAGGTTGGCTACTCCATCATTTCCTCCTCAAATGGCTTCCTTTTTGCTATCATCCATCATTAAAAGTTCATGAGCCATGAGTGAGCCTAAGAGTTCTTCAATGCCTAATTTTGTTAGGTCTTTTGCTTCTTGGATAGTTGTAACCTTAGCTTCCCATTCATTTGGCAAAGACCTAAGTATTTTTCTTACAAGCTCACCATTAGTATAAGATTTACCAAGAGATTTTAGAGCATTAATAATATTGGTAAATTTATAAAACATCTCAGAAATATATTCAAATGATTTCATAGTAAAGAGTTCATAATCATAAATAAGCATGTCAATCCGAGACTCTTTTATTTGGCTAGTTCTTTCATAGGTGATTTCAAGTTTATCCTAAATCTCTTTAGCAATAATACACCCAGAAATTCTATTGTACTCATTTGCATCTAGTCCACACACAAGAATAAGCTTGGCTTTAGCATTAGCTTGAAAGAGTTTATAATCACGCTCATCAAATTCATCCTCAAGTTTAGGCACACTAACATGGTCTACTACCTTGGTAGGGATTTTAGGACCTTTAGTGATAATGAGTCACAAAACATAATTGGTAGCTTGAAGATACAAAATCATTTTTTCTTTCCAATGAATGTAATTACTACCATCAAAGAGAGGTGGACTATTGCTAGCTTGTCCTACAGCAGAATAAGTAGAATACATGGTTGCTATGGATAAAAAACTCAAGATTGTTAAATCTAAACAAGAGCCCCAGGCTCTAATACCAATTGTTACCCAAAAAGCAACCTAAGAGGGGGGGTGAATTAGGTTTCTACAAATTAAAGTTAATAATACCCCATTAAAATTAACTACTAGTACAACAAATTATTAACAAGCATAATGATGAACTTAGCAGTAAATAATCAAGCAAAATAACAATGAAGTATAACTAATATACAGGGTAAATCAAATGATTAGCACATGAATATTAGATAGATATAGCATTAGTAGGAAAGTAAAGAGATTAGGAAAGAGGAGACAAACCGGTTTATAGTGGTTTGGCTTCAACTAAGCCTACATCCACTCCTCAAGTTTCACTTGAGATTTTTCACTATCTTCTACCTTCACAAGGTGCTAACAACCTTTTCACAGATGGAGCAATCCTCCACAGACTTTCTAAGTCAAGAACACTGAGTGTACCATACTCTTACAAGGTTGAAAAGAATGTGTTTTTGCTTTCACAGAAAACTACAATAATTATCTCTCAAAGATAGATATAAAAATGAAGCTTTTTTTTTTCTGTAAACCTCACACAGGAAAGATGAACTTAATGCTATAAGGCTCAGGGTATAATTTCTGAGAGAGGATGTAAACAAAAATTGAAGAACACTTCTCAGAGAATAGATGTGAGTGATTATAGATCAAAGAATATTTTCTAATTTTTTGTCACTTGTTTACATTAGAGGTTTTGGTATATATAATAAAAATTATAGCCGTTTATAGCCGTTGTACTATATCATTACTAATCTGAATATCTTCCACTCCATCATTACAAATTTGAATATCTTCCACTTGAATCTTTTGAACCTTTTGGCCTGCCACTGTGCTGGGCTGTTTGAACCTTTGTTTTGGACTGTTTGAACTCCTGATTTAATCAAATATTAAATACATTCTAACAACATTTAGGATAAAGGTTTAGGTGAGAAATAATGGGACAAAATAAATTTTGATTCTATTTTTCTCTTTCAAATAAATCATTAAAATAAATTTTGATTCTATTTTTCTTTTTCAAATAAATTAAAATATAATTAAATAAATCATCAAAATAAATAAGTCTAATAGAACCTTTTGAGGGCCTCAAACTTATCTAATTCTACTAAGAATGGCGTTCTTGGCTTGACTGGGGATGTGATGTAGGGGTGTCCGCGGTTCAGTTTGGGACGGTTTGTGGTTCGGTTTGGACCCGCCCACATCTATGTGGTTTGGGGAAAAGTCAACCCGCAACCGCCCGCAATGCGATTTGCGGTTTGTGCGGATAAGGTTCACGGATGTGCGGACCATTGCGGGCGGTTTGTGGATTGAACTTTTTTTTCAAAAATTTATTTTTAAACCTTTTTTTTTCTCCCATTTTGTCAATCTTTATTTTGAACCTTTTCTCTCATATTTTCTAAAATGCTCCAACATTAATAATTAATGAATTAAAACTTATAAAATAAAAAACACAACAAATTCAATTCGTAACCTAAACAAATCATTCAAAATCTATATTCATCATTAACTTGCATTCATCCTACATTCATCATTCATAACCCAAATAAAAAAATCCTACATTGAAAATTCAACATTCATCATTCCTAACCCCCTCAAAAAAAAAAAAAATTCTTCATTAACTTACACTCATCCAAAATGCAAAAAAAAATAATAATTCATTAACTTACATTCATCCAAAACCAAAACGCAATTAAAAAAAAAAAATTGTTGTCAAACTTCATTCAATACAAACCCATGAAATAAAATTAAAACATTTCTAAGATATCAAACTTCATCTTCATAAATCACATCCAATTCAACTTTCACAAATTCCAATTCCAATTCCAATTCTAATTCCATGCATTTGGTTGATGAACCCTACACTAAAAAATATAAACTTTAATCTTCAATTATAGTAAGAAATGAAAAGATAAACAAATGTCTATATATTGCATCTCAATATAGTAAGAAAATGTGTTGAGTATATGAAAAAATTACCAATGAGCAAATGGATATTAGACATCAATTATAGCATCAACATTATAGGTTGAAGTTGAAGATGAGCTTGACTCCAAAGTACCTAATTAGAAGTCAACAAGAGAAGATTAGTAAAACTTACATTAGAAAATGAATAATACAAATAAAAATAAAGATAAATAAATTCTCATTTACCCGAGTCATATTGCTCAAATTCTTCCACATCATCCATGGCCTTTTGAAGAAAAATTGGGTGGTTGCTTTGAAGCCAATTTTGAGTACATACAAGAGCTTCAACCATAGAAGGCGAGAGTGAACTACGAAATGGGTCAAGAAACGCCCTCCCGTACTAAAAGCCGACTCCGATGCAACGGTAGAAATAGGCATGGCCAACACATCCCTTGCAAGTTGTGATAACACCCTATATTTGGTTGCATTCACCTTCTAATAATCCAAAATCTCAAATGTTTGATTCTTTGCAAAATGTTCAACCTCGGATAAATATTGTTCCAATTCCGACTTAGATCCACTAGTGCATCGCCCCTCCAAATAGGAATTAAATTGTGAGTCAACTAAAGAATAGGGATCATCATCATCATCATCTTCCACCATATTCACAAATTCACTCACACTTGGAAGTTTCTCATTTGAAGGATAAAGTGTGACATAATGGCTATACAAACGACTCAAGCAACTCTTAACCTTGACTACCATCTCTTCCACCTTCCTATTATCTTCAAGAAATAAATTAGAAAAACAAAACTCCAAGTATGTCATTTTTTGGGTAGGATCAAGAACCACCGTAACATACAACAACAAATTGATTTTACTTCCATCCCCCCAGTACTTGCTAAACTTTGGCTTCATAGTCTTCGCCATTGTGCTCAAAGTATCATCCTCTTCCAAAATTAATTGATTAATTTTGCTTTCAATAACAAACATCTCTTTGTAAAATGCATTGGAAGTAACAAAGAGAGACCCCGAAAATTTCTTAGTTGCAACATAAAATAATTTTAGAAACCTCAAAAAAATTCTACACTTTTTCCAATCCAACTCATTCGAACTTCTTCTTATGCCACCATCAACATCCTTGAAATAAGGTTCAAAGTTGGAATCCACAAATTTCAATCGGTTAAAAGCCTTCTCATACTTTTCGGCGGCCTCTAACATCAAATAGGTAGAGTTCCACCTAATTGGCACATCTAGGCATACAAGAGCTTTTGCATCAAGTTTGAGTGCGGCCGCACACTTCTTAAAAACATCATGCCTATGAGGAGAAGACCTCGCATATCTCACCGCAAGTCTAATGTTGGCAATAGAATCATCCATTTCTTTCAACCCATCACTCATAACAAGATTAAGAATATGTGCACAACAACGCATATGAATAAACTCATGTCGCAAAATAGTCCCCTTCCAATCTTTGGTTATCGTTTTCAAATATTGAATTGTAACAACCCCTATCTGTAATTAGCCACTAATTCGTATTTAATGATGTTAATGAGTGGATTAAAATAAATTATGTGTTTATTCTGCACTTTGTATGATTTTGGCTTTCTATCTGTTACTTATAGAAATATCTGTTTGGAATTCCACTTTAATATGTAAATTGAAAGCCTTATCGGCATCCGAAATCGAAATTGATTACACCGATGTGTTAATTAGAATTTTTAGAACCATATGGCACGTTTTATTAAAAATTGATTCAGTCTAATTCATTAAGTTACGTTTGGCAAGCCAAATGTTCTAATTAATGTATTATAGCATCATAGGTATAAATAAGAGCCCTATAAGCTCATTTTGAGCTCATTTTCTTTTATCCCTTGAGTGGAAAAATCTGGTGAAACATTTTAGAGAGAGAGAGAGAGCACAATTCTAGAGAGAGAAAGGAAGAGATTAAGGAGAAATTGAAGGCCATAGCTTGAATTGATCAAAGATTGTGCTAGAACAAGAGTAATTCAAGACTCTAGGTAAGGATTTAAGACTTAATTATGAGTTTTAACCTTCAAGTAGATCATTTCAAGAAGAATTTGTGATTGTGTACAAGAATTGGACCAAAGATGTTGAATTTAGAGTTAATTCATGCATGCATGTACATTTTCTCACAAATTGAGCATGAACTCCAAGAATTCTCTCTTGCATGTTTGAAATTCATCTTCATTTGGGGAAATCATCACGTTTCTAGTTGTTTTGTGGTGTTTGATCATGTTTTGAGAAGTTTGATACAAGAAAAATTCATGCATGTTGTGTTCATGAACATTCATCATGTTTTAAGTTGAAATTGTGAGTTTCTAACAAACTCTTGGGCCATGATTTTATGAAATAATTCTTAATTCATCATGTTTCACAAGTTTACTATGTTATCTCAAGTTTTGGGGCCCAAGAGATGTGTTTTGAAGGTTGGAATTCGAGTTTTGAGCTTGAAGGTGCAATCTGGAAATTTCAGAATTTGCATCTACGCTCGAGCGTGGGAGTTTACGCTCGAGCGACCACTCTAAGTGCGTGCACTCCGCTCGAGCGACCAAAAGTATGCTCGAGTGTGAATTGCAAGCTCCCAGAAGTTTCATGTCTTTTACAGATCGCTCAAGCGAAGGAATGTGTGCTCGAGCAACCATTCACATTTTGCATGTCCGCTCGAGCGTGGACCTTGTTTTCAGAAATTTTGACTAAGTGTTCCAAGGCATGTTTTGGCATCCTCATTGCATCTTAGGCATTCCTAAGCCTTAATTAAGCCATAGTAATGAGGTTATGGATTAGAAACACACTAAGGAATGAATGTACTAAGTTCCGTGACTGCAAGTGTGTGTGTGTTAGGCAATGTGATAAAAAAGAATAACAACCAATGTAATGAAAGCTAAGTCTTAATGACCACTTGAATGTGTAATGATAAGATATGCTTGTGTTATGTGCTTTTGTGGTTATAGGTCAAGACTTGAGGATTGATTGACCGTTTACTGGAACCACTGTGAGTAACGTTATTGTAAAGATAGGTTCATATGAATTACGTTCCAAATGAAATATGATAAATTCTGATTTCTGAAATGATATCTGTTTTCGTGAACAAATATTCCAAGTTTGAAATCTATTATGGCATCCATAGATAGTCCCAAGTCATAGGGGATGGCATGAAAATGCGGGTCCATGATATACAAGTAATTACGAGATCTCGTTAGCCACTTCATTGTGGTGATATGTGTTTAATCGGTATCCGGAACTGATTACTCTAGTCGGAAGACGTTCTGTGATGTGTTCTATGGGATGTACCATTATTATGTTCTGATATGAGAATGATTATGCTTTGGTCTGTTTTCTGCTTATGATATATTCGGATTTCGTTCACTAACCCCTTTACCTTAATGTTATTCATTGGGCTTTAGCTCATTGTGTGTATATATATGTATAGGTGAGCATTTTGGAGCCCGAGCCTGAAGGCTTTTGTCTGGATCTGTGTTATGTTATCAGCCAACCATTGTGCCTCACATGGAGGTTCCCGAAGCGTCTGGTGTTTAAGTTCTGTGGGTTCTGTTTATTTAAGACTTAATTTGATGTCGTTGGTTGTACTTAAAATACTGTAATGTGTGTGGGTATAATGTATGACTACCGGTTATGCATATAAAGTTTTAAATATTCTGTTTCATTTAAGTCAGCATAGCTCATTGGACAACTATATTTATGTATGTGCTTCCGTTAGCCCCTTAATCTTGTTAATCTGTTTAGAGGCCTTCGGTGATTCAAGGATTACTGGCCGGTCATGATGCTAAACCTATAGGGGCGGGTTTGGGCCGTGACATGAATGGTAAGATTATTAGAACTAGCATTATCAACTGTTAAGGTGAATATGCTATCAATGTTCCACGCAATCAAACACGACTCAATTTTTGGACCCAATGTTTCTCTTTTGTGATCCTCAACTTGTTGAAAATTTATGATTCTTTTTTGAAGTTTCCAATTATCATCAATGAAATGAGCAGTCAAACACATGTAACACAAATTCTGAATAGATGTCCAAGTGTCCGAAGTAAAACAAATTCTACGACCCTTCATGACCTTCTTTAACTTATCCCTTTCATTCTTGAATATATTGAGCATTTCTCTAGATATGGTTTGACGAGAGGGAATTGGTGTGAATTTGGATTGCATGACATTACAAAATCTTCTAAACCCAACACCCTCCACAAATCTAAATGGCAACTCATCAATGACCACCATCTCCGCAAAAGCCCTTTTACAAGTATCAAAATTAAAAATTGTTGCTACAACCTCAACACCCTCTTCATTTTGTTTCGGTTTAAGATTTAATGTTTGTTGACCATCTGTATCCCTATTTGGATATTCTTTACAATTGGGTGTATGACTCCTTAAATTACTAGTCCCATGAAGTCTAGAGTCTGCCATATACTCTTTCTTACAATATTTACATACGGCTCTACGCTTCCCATCGGTCCCTACAACCATGTCAAAATGATCACAAACTGTGGATGGTGCTATCCCCGCTCCACCCTCACTCTTTCTCTTTGGGGGTCTAGGAGGCTTAGGTTCAAGTTCAGGTTTGGGTTCGACTAAGAGAGGATTCATTTAAGAATTAGAGGATTCCGGTGGTACAAGATTGGTTGCGGGAGATATCCTCCATTTAAACTGGATTACAAAAATACAGTCACAGAATCAATTTTACAAACACAGATTCAATTTTAATTTTAATAGCAGATTTAATTTCAAAAATTAAATAACAAATTTAAATAACAGATTAAATAACAAATTTAAATAACAGACAGATTTAATAATAGATTTAATTCCAAAAGTTAACAAATTGAATCAAATTAAATCTTTCAGACATATACTCTTTCAGACATATTAAATAACAGACATATACTCTTTCAGATTTAATTTAATTTTAATAACAAATTGATTCAAACATATACTCTTTCAGATTTAATTTGGACCAACAAATTTAAATAACAGATATATACTCTTTCAGATTTAATTTAATTTTAATAACAGATTGATTCAGAATTCCTGAAAATATAAAACAACTAAGAGTAGTAGTTATATATTCAAACCATTCAAATTTCAAGTTATAGATTCAAACCATTCCTTAAGCACAAACCATTCAATTCCAAAACAGACATATACTCTTAAATAACAGATTCAAATTTCAAGTTACAGATTCAAACCATTCCTTAAATAACAGACATATACTCTTACCTTTGATCTAAGATTAAACAGATTCAGAA